CACACACACACACACACACACACACACACACACACACGCACATACATACATACACACGCATAAACATACAGTGGTCCTCCTCAACACGCGTTTTCGTATTTGTATAAATGCAAAAAACACAGGAATAGAAAAAAGAAGGAAAAGCTAACTGGCACATTGAATCTGGAAAGATCTTGGGAAGGTCACCAAGTAAACAAACGCAACATTGATTCTCTTCTACGAATGTATGACTGACCGTGCTATGATTGCCCTCTCGCAACCTCCGCTTCAAGTCGTAAGCAAAATTTTATCACTACAGCGAGCTCGAGAAAATGAGGGGATAAGTACACGTGGTAGACGCATGAACCTATCTCCGTGCTTTGCCAGTTTCGCGCCAGCTCACTGTGATAAAGAAAACGGGTGAAATTGAAGAACAAGTATCAGTACAAGCTGCGCTGTTTAGCCTTCTTAAGAACGTAGTGAGGGGACTCTGAAACAACTGAGAAGAACTGGTATACTACAGAAGCAGCATGATGAAAATCCCAGTAGTCCTCAGAGTTGCTCTGATTCCATTCTAAATTTCAGAAACATTTTGCAGCGGTACAAAACGGCACAAAAGCAGAGAATTTTACATTTCTAAACAGGAAATTTAGAAATGCGAGATAGTCAAATCAAGGGAGATTTGATTTTTTTCGAGGAATCCTAATTTTTCTCTTCACTTTCACAAGAAAAAAAGAAACAATTTACAACTTATAGCATGGCTCAATTTGTACTCGTTACTGAGGGAGGATGGGGGTTCAGCTTGTGAGGAGTTGTGGAATCTATTTTAGTGCCCGCAAAACAGTGAAAATGTCTATTATTATTCACTTATTAGCGCACTGCCGCTACTCAGCTCACGTAACGGAAAAGGCAGAAACACGAATACGAAGAGGAAGCGGAGCTTGTGAGAATCTACTTCAAAACAAGAAGCAGCGGAGGAGCTCATCAACCAAAATGAAGCATGCCAAAACGTTCCAATTTAGTTTACTCTTACCCATAGGCTGTTCGAACATTTGGCTGAAAAAATTATTCCGCTCATTCACTGGCGACATCCTTAATCATTCATGCTTTGTGCCTCAAATCCAATCAAAAATTCCTTTTTTCTTACCGTGCTCCGAATCTGGCCTATCCGTGCTGCATTGCAGCAATAAAACAAATTTAAAATAAAACTAACGTCAAGTGGTTTCCAGGCACAATACGGCATTGGGAGGCCATCAGGTCCAGTAGGACATGGAGCGTCCAAACCAGGAATGCCCTATAATAAATTCACTAGCGCCATCAAGCTCTTCAGGACATGTTGAAATTTTGGGAATTTTGCTGTGCTAGCAATATTTGCAACGGCTTGTCACAATATATCACAATATTTGCAATATTTGCTAGCAATATTTGCAACGGCTTTTCATAACTGCAAGTATGGCCATTCGTGTAGCGATAGGACATTTAGTTAACGCCACAGAATGCCTGAAAAGCTCATTCACCTGTTCGCCTTTTTCGCCTTGCGGACCAGGTGCTCCGCGGTCACCACGTTCTCCTGGCAGTCCACGATCACCTGGGACGCCTCGAGCTCCCTAAATGTAATTTTGGAATAAAATTTGTTTACAAATTCTGACCAGCAGCCTATTCGATACAAACTAGACAGAATGGCCAAGTCATACAAATGTATGAGCTCAATTTTTCATGGTCACTACAGACTGCTGAAATCAGAAAAAACTGCACGTACAGGCAATCCAACATCGCCCTTTGGTCCTGGTGGCCCAACTGGTCCGGGTTTGCCCTGAAAAAATATACTTTAAATCAAACGTAATTAAAACTGAGTCGATTGGACCGATTAAGCTGACAGTCAGCATGCCATGCAGCAGCTAAGCAATACTCCGATCATTCCTTAACAACTCGACAACGCAGTTGTACAACACAACGGACACACAGGTGCTTGCAAAGATTTTCGTGGCAGATCATCCTTCATTCTGTTCAAATCATTTTAACTCTTCAAGAATGGCATCAGTGTTGAGTTCTGAAACCGATCCGAGCACAGTAAACTTGACACAAGTGCTTGGCACATCAATAGATCTGAACCTAAAAAATCAGTCAAACTGCTGAGTGGCAGTCTATTCAGCATCGGCTCAAATAACAGCGTAAAATACGCCTGCATAGTACAAAAAGTTACATACTTTACAAAATTAGCAGTTAAAAACCGCGCATCGAAAAGTAGCAATACAGCAAAAATTGTATAGCAGCACTATCGATGTTTTCATAAAAGTCCAAAAACGCGAGCATTGTCAGTCAAATATTATTGAAAGCAATAACGTATAAATATTGAAAGATGAATTTTAGAGAAAATGGAGAAACAGCTCCACTGCGACAGAAACAGCGGTGAAGGACGGGATAAATGCGCTTTCCTGGATCGTTGAGAAAATAAAACGCCCCATTGAACGACTGAAGTGCAGGATCTCGCCCTGACCATCAGAGGAAGCTAAATCTGTAGGCGACAGGCTGCCTGCTTCGCTAAAAAGTGCAGGAACAACAGCTAGAATTAAGTAATCAAGAAGACTGGAGGGCCTGGAACATGGCTAATCGTCACCGCTCAGTGACGTCAGTAGGGAATTAGTGATAGGATGCGCGACCTTGGTAATAACATTTTGTGAATTTCTGTACTACTGCAATTATATTTTTTGGCTCGGTACAGCATGATAGAATTTAACGTGTAACACTGAAAACAACAAAGGCGCGAATTAAACTTTTTTTTTTTTGAAAAACAGATGTCAACATACCTGTGCGCCTTCAGTCCCTGGTTTGCCTGGCGACCCTCTGATCCCCATCGGTCCTGGTGGTCCCTGAATCACTGGATACAATTATCAAAATTTGAAGTCAACAGCAAAAAAAAGTAATGGAGAATATGCATACAGGTAAGCCAAGTGACCCGGGTGCTCCGGCCAATCCTTGTTCTCCCTTATCGCCTTTCAAGCCAGGCGGCCCAGGTAAACCTGGACTTCCCTGAAAATATGCTGTATATCTTTTTTTTGCATAGGTGCTCACGACTAGTTCAAATAATACGAAAAGCATACCCTTGGTCCAGGTCGACCCGGAACAGCTACTACAGAAGACGAAGCGGTCGCTTCAACGAAAGTGCCCTGAAAATTATGCCCAAAATCCTATGTATTTTGAATATACATAGATATATACCCAAAACCATTAAGAAATACCCTATAACTAAAGCTGGATAAGTCTGTCGCATTAAACGTTAAAGTGCTTGTTAAATATATGTTAAGTGCTAAAACAAGTGCTTACAAAGGCGCGTAGTATTCTCAACAGATGTGATAGCAACATCAACAATATGCCCATAATTATGCATACAAAACATGTTTTGCTTACAGAAAGTCCCGGCAATCCCGGTGGACCAATCAAGCCAGGTGGTCCTATTTCACCTCGCTCGCCTTTTGCACCAGCGTGACCTGGCAAACCCTGCGGTCCACGCTCACCGCGAGATCCCTCATTTCCTTTTGGGCCCTGAAAATTATTGTCTAAGCTATGTTGTTTACAGGTAGATTACAGCTTGCTTCCAGCACTAGATTTATCTGAGGTATTGAAGGAATCCAGCACAACTTACCGGAGGTCCAACAGGCCCCGGCGGGCCAGCCAGTCCATTGATCCTGGCATTCTCTTGTACCAATGGCAGCAGTTTCTCAATCAGTTTTTCCTCATTTAATGCCAAACCATCTTTACCCTAAGCAAATTATTACACGTATCAAAAGTTTTGAAAATGTACCAAATCTATTTAGAGAGTCAGCAACGACAAATCAGAACCACATTATGGTATAAAACTGAAGCTGAAAACGGCAAGAATTTTTCATCGCATTTTCTGGAGCAGAGTAATCACTGTTATGTATTAAACTGAATAACCAATGGTAGAAAAAACTTACCTGTTTAATGCAAGGATGCTAAGCTATTGGCATTATTAAGCAGTACACAAACACGATTCAGAGAGGCTCATGCAAATCATGCATACACATAAACACACAATTTACACGAATTTATAACAAGCAAAACTGCACAGTTTCTTTAGCAAACCACGACTGATAATAAATAACTGCACGGAAATTTTCTATTTTGATTGATCATTTTTCCACACAAAGCTCAGCTAATTGTTTGTTACAAGAGACAGTTTAAAAGTTTTTGTCGTTAACAAGTTAACTGTTCATGAATTATTTTCGTGACACCGACCCGAACAATCCGTCGTACTAGAATAGTATCGGCCTGGACAGTATCTAAACACGGCGTGACAAAATTTGACTAAAGGCCATAGAGTTAGTTAAAGCAGCAAAAGCGCAAACGCACATTTGGAAAGAACATCACGAAAGTGAAGTCAAAACTACGTAGAAACTTTGCACCTCCGTCAAACCACTCTGCCGCGATGAACCCGAAACCGATGACAACTGATTTCGAAGAATCTCGAGCAAGACAAGCCGCTGTGAAACAGATCTAATCTTCCGATGCGCATCTACAGTTTCAAGACGAAATCAAGCAGCGATTTAATTCAAATTTTTTTTCCGGAGTTCGTCAGAGTGCTGCTCTGAGTGGGTGCATAGTTTAAAGAATGGGTTTTAACGTGACCTTAAAGAACGATACTTACCCGGACAAGCGAGGGGAGGATGTAAACGGAACCAGATTTATTATTAGTGCAAAACATTGTGAGTTTCGCTCACTATAAAACCGTAATGATTCTCGGTATCACAAAAGACTGCAGTACTGCTTCTGTTTACAACCCTCGTTAATTACGAAAGTGGGACTGCGCACTACTGCACTGAACCTGAATCAGCTTTCGTCGTCAAACCCGTCCACCCATCCTGATGGGTTGTTTCAAAATGAAAATTTAAAGCTACATTAACTGTCGAGTGGAAGAACGACCGAATAGTAACAATTTGGACAGCCCAACTACTCAAGTTATCTTTTGTAATTAATTTTAACATTTGATCGTTTTACTTCAAAACAAACGCAATACAAGAGAACGTAAACTCACTTTTTTGCCACGTCTACCAGTATCACCTTTGGCACCAGTCTGTCCGGTTGGACCTATTGGGCCCTTGCTACCCATATCGCCCTAAATTTTCTTAAAATAATGATAAATTGCTTAAAGATTTAATACAGCACATCCTCAGTTTGCACAAAACTAGCGGATGAAAACATTACTGTCACACTCAATTTAGAGTTATTTTCTGAAGCGACAGAACCGTTGACAAAGAATGGGAATTCAAGCAGTCTTCAGAACAGTGAAGAAGAGGAAGCCGCTGGTGAAGCACTTTGCCAAGAGCGACAACCACGAGTACTGGTAGTTCGCTCTTCCGAGAGCTGCTTGACAAGCAAGCTGGAGGCAGTTTAACTCCCCGGCATGGGCCAGCACTGGTTATTACTGAAATGAATCAACGGTTCGTACGGATTGGCTTTCCCAATGGCGAGTTTGAACCATTCTCGCAGGTCTGCTTCACCTGCCCTCATACTAAGCGTCAGTAAACGCCGAATTTGAACTTCAAGAATTAGTTTTATCATGCTTTCGAAAAAAAACATAGTTATAACTTCTTAGTTATGACATGTACATTAGTACGAAATATCATTCTGAATGTTTTAACAAATGAATAGTGGCGCATAGCAATGGGCCAGCACAGTTATACGTTTTTGCACCGTGTTTTCAACAGCATATTGCATAATGCATCAGTACATATTGAACTTGCTCGTTTTTTGTTCATATGAGGTGACCACTTAAAATTTTAGATTTGTGGCTTACTCAGTTTTGAGTCTGTATTATCAACGCATATAACAGTACACAATGGAATTTAAAAGCTAATTTCAGGATGATAATCTGGAATACACTACACAGTGCACAGAAACCAAAAAATTCCTCACTTGAAAACCGTTTAGATCAAATTTAGGCCCCAAGTAATATATTAAGTTTGTCAAGATTCGGAAACTAGTTTCATTATATTGATCCTGATCAATTAGCAAAAAACGTCCAAAATTCCCAGTTTATAGCTTTGTAGGTTTTCTAACTGTAGCGCTCGACGGTTGAATTTCGTTGAGGAGTGGTGAGCAAAAGACACAGAAAGAGATTAAAAAATCAATTTTGGGTTTGCGGCTCCATACATCGTGACAGATCAAGTTTTGCGATTCCTAGCATGGGTTATCCAAACAAAACGTTCACACACATAAAGACGACATTAGCCAGAACGCGCTTTATTTTAAGCGAAAGTGTATAAAATCGATCGTGGAAATCCAGCCAGCGGGAGAAGCAACAACCACAGCCGGCACTTTCCCTTTTTTTGAACCTTATGCGGCATAAACTGATTTGAAACGATTATGTTTAAAACGCTTTGTTAATCAATTTTACAGGATTTTGTTATATCACACAGAACAGGCCCAATAACCAGCACAGGCAAGCTCATGCAGCCAGACAAGAACACTGATTTGTCGAAGACAAAAAGTACATTCTGGAGAATTGACTCTGTCCAGTAATTATTTTGCAACCGAACACAAAGCGATTCTTCAGTTTCACTGGTTCATTATCACCACAAACCCTCAGCAGTGGTAAACCTTTAAATAAACGCTTTAATAAACAAAAAGCTGTGAAAAACCTTTTCTCCTTTTTCTCCTTTCCGCCCATCTCGTCCTGGTGGTCCCGGAGGTCCTGCAATTACTTGTGTTGTTCTTGCTGATGAAGCCGTGACAATGCCGGGAGCTCCCGGAGGTCCTTTTGCACCGACTTCTCCCTTTTCACCCCTTTCGCCTTTTTCGCCCTGAATATACAAGGTGCAAATGGAATATTTTATTTGTTATAAATTAATGACTATTTGAACTAACCATTCAGCATATAATGCAACTTTGTGTCCCGCCCTAGTAGCTTCAGCCCGCTTACACTAAGGTGCAAGACGCGAAAACCTTCCTTCTGTGCTAGCTTTCGGTTGAACAAGGCCAGTT